CTTCGTAAGTACGCAAAATTGACTTACGAGTGGCGTTGCTATGACAACGTAATACTAGCAGTGGTATTATAAAAAATTTACGCGGGAAAAATTTGCGCGGGAAAAAAATTTAGGCTTTTAGCTAAGACTTGCGTACAAAAGTTTTGATAAAGCCAAAATTAGGGTGTATTTACGTACCACAGAACTTTTTTGTCATAAGTACAAAAAGTTACGAAGTTTTGATAATCCGGCCCTGGACCTGAAATATTCAGCTTGTTAAAATTTTTCGATACATTATTTAGTAATTAATGTTTTATTTAAAACAGGTGGTATTGTTGACAGGGCGGCACGAAGCCTAGAGTGTAGCTCCTCTGTGCTACCTGGCTGGCTAGCGCTGGCCAGGGGAAGCTCTCGCTCCCGGTTCAGAGGACTTCCACCGAGCAGCAGCTCGGGCCAATTCACTTTAAGAAAGATTTTGCTGTGCTGTCCAGAACACAATTCCGATTTAAGAAATTAAATATTTTTTGAAGTTTTCTACTCATCGCTATTGGATGAACGTTAATCATTCCTTCCACTGAGGAAAGAGGCCGCGCTAAAGTTTTGAACAATTAATGATCCTCTATTATTTGTAACTGATATTCCACAATTATAGAAGACTTAAGCATCTTTAAGGAATAATGTTAGAACAATATCGGAAAGTATCTTATTTACCTCCACTGGGGAGGGAGTGCAGCGTTATGGTGGCTGGGGCAGAGGCAGCGTGAGCCTGCGCGCGGTACTCTCCTGTGTGCTGAGCAGACCGCCCCGCCCTGCGAAAATGGATGTTTCCATTGAACATGTTACGAACTTACCGGAAATATTACTTCACCAGGTATATTACCCTTCGAATTATTACTTATTTAAATTATTTTCCAGGGCCTATTTTTGCTCATAAAGTCGCACGGATTAATTTATTTATTATTATTAAAATCCTATTTCGGGTCACGAAGTTTTGCATAGTTAACAACACGGCTTAAATCAAGACGCACTTAAATCATATGATCGAAAAGTTTCTTTATTTTTTTAATTCATGTGCACAAATTAATCAGTTTCATCAGTTGTCGCTAAATTATCTTCAGTCAGATGAGTTTGAGGTAATTCAAATTCTAAAATACATACATCTGAAATAAAATCTAATTTTTAGGAAATAAGGCTGCTAGCTGACTACTTAAGCTGACTAGCTAGCTGACTACTTACCCTGTCTATGCAATCCAATCAAAATATTCAAAATTAAGAGACTAAATTTGTTTGAGAACAGTGTTACTTACAAATGCTTATTTCACAAAAAACCCTCACACCGCTACACTCGACTCCGATCATCTATATTACCATTGATATCATTATTTTACGAAGAGATAATCGTGACGTCTGATACAGAACTTCGAGGGCGTTACAAACATTCCAAAGTTCTAAGATAAACCAAAAATGAGACACAGTGAAGGATAACAAGGAATAAAATCAGCTATGTAGAACATTTGAAGGGTTTACGGAATAGTTCCGTCTCTATGCTGCGACGAAACGCACTCTGTACGTATAGGAGCCGATGTGTAAGTCTATTAATTATACATAAACCAACCTCATCGTTTATGTTTATGATGGGCTGTTTATCTACACTTAATTAAAGATAGAAGGCCATGCCATTAGTGAAGTTCATTAAATATAAACAACAGGCATCTCAGGGACTCACAGGTCGATGTATGAGAGGTGGTAGGTTCCGTTGAGGTAAAACCGTAGCTGGCTGGTGGATGAGGACTGACCGGCTGGCTGCACTTCATAGTCACCATCAGTAAGCTGTGACATGGAACGTAAATTATCGTTAACAATGTTTACTTAATTCGATTAAGAACTATTCCTGTGCCTTTTCATGTTAAAGACTTGGATACTTTTCACTTTGAGTACCTATTTATTTACTCACGCAGCTATAGATGATTTTGTAGGTGATAAGGTTTAGATTTTGTAGTTGATAAAANGTTGATAATTTTAAAATACCCCCTCTGGCCAGGATGTTCGAGCTAAAAAAAATACTTCGGTATGTAAGTTTATTAAATTTTTGGATTTAGGAACAATAAATAATCGAGAAACTCGTACACTCGTACACCAAAGATCCATTTTCAATACTATCCGTTACACTTAAAGGTATACTTAAAATAAATCTGCCAGAGAAGAAAATTAGGGGTCGCCTGCCGAATACCACCACTGCTCTGGATATAATGGACCATTATGAAAGTAGCCTTCAACAATTCAAGCCGTCCGTATCTAGGCCGTGGGTCGAACCTGCCCTCGGTCGAACGTCCACTTGTCGAAGGACGATAAATTTTGGAACAGAACTATCTAAAACCTAACCTCAGATGCGGTGAACGTAAAATCACGTAATTTAACGATGCCTGGAAGTCATATTCGATCCGCGGCCTGGTGGTGCACGGCAGGTGGTGGTCAAGGCCGGAAGAGGACAAAGCCGAGTGGTGCACGGCTGATTGGTGTAGGTCAGGAAAGATGCAAGGCATTCGATTCAGGGCTTATTGGTGCTCAAAATTGGTGGTGCACGGCTGCGCTCCCGAAAATTAGCTAACGTAATTGCACATCATGCTCTTGTATAAAACATGGCTTATAAAAATTGTTTGATTGCTAAAATTTTGACAAAATAAATTTCACATCAAAATATTAATGAGTATTCAAACAAATCTTGTGAGCAGTGCCACCTGGTAAAATTATTCCATGCAAATACGGCAGACTATGATATAAACTAACAGTGAATTCTGCTCACCTTACCAATGTAGGCGTCGTTGAAGTTCTCAGTCGTGTTGGGGCCACTGCAGGGCCTGATCGTGGAGCCCTGGGCGAGTCCCCCCCAGCACGAAGCACAGCCCCACCAATAAACCCCAGACAAATAATTTTTCCATTTCCTCAGTATAAATTCCAATTTTTATCCGCCACCAACAACCTTAAAAATCTGTTCAAAAAATAAATGAAATTAAAACTTCAGAAATGCCGTTGATTATGAATTGTTTGAGTGAATGGAGTTCAAACAACGTTTGAACAACGAACTGATCATGTATGATAATTTTCAAGGTAGACAATCTGTGGCTAAGTGATCGATATAATTTAAACGATTATTTAATAATTGTTTAAATTTTAAAATATTTTATAAGGCATCTGCTTTAACGTACGCTTTCTCTACATGAACTTACCTATCGGAATTTCAAAATATTTATTCACTCCTATGTTCTAAGCTGCTTGTACGCGAAAATCGCATTTTATTTCAGTTCTCAGCTGTTATCTTTATGAATATTTTGTCCGCAAATCGATCGAATTTTCACTTCAATGTCTTATAAAAAATTACGTCCGTACGTAGACTGCATTATTTCTATTAAATCTTAGTCCGTAAATTGATCGAATTTTTTACTACAATTTTCCAGCTGAAACTTAAACGAATCAAACAATAAATTATAACGACTTGAAAATTGTAAGTTATTTTTAATGGCGTGTTAACATATTCAATGACAAAATGGGCTTGGATCTCGCCTGAAAACAAACATCCGACGGGCAGAAACTATACGGTCTATGGGCGAAAGATAGATGACAAATCAATTAAATGACAGACCTATATAGAAGGAGTCGGATAGATTAGTCGTAATGCTCCAGCTCTGAAATAATGATCGACGATGACATTTTGGTAGGATTCAAAGACAAAAAGACTACGAAATGCTAAGGCAATTGAATAATTTACCTTATTGTTGAACGCATTTTAGAAATTGTGCGAGATGAATAAATTATTGATGACTTAATTCTACCTGATGTCATGCATCATGCACAGCATCCATCATATGATCAGCATTCAATCTTCTCACTCAATGCTACCCAATGATTGCGGTGTACACTAATAACTCTCAAAAAGATTCTCACAAAGTGAAAAAAGTATTTTTTAAAATATAATTCAAATAAGTAAAGTGTGAACACCACTGAAGAGATCATTATCACACATGCTTCACTCATAAAACATTTGTATTACAGACCTCTTGTCTTGGAGCAGAAACCAACATAACTAAATTTAATACTACAGAAGTTTTTGACCCTCCTTCCGTTAGAACTTTAGAACAAAGAACGCTTCCCAGCTCCTGTTGCTGCCCTTATATCCACAGGAGTGAGCCGACCAGTTCAGTCTTGGCTTTTTATCACCTGGAACTGCAAACAAGTTCAAGAGGACCGGTTATACTATAGCCCACTCTTTTAATTCTTCGCGGTAAACTTTAACGAAATAACAGAAAGATCAAACATATTCGTCAACTTCATGGGTGTCATCCATCAAAACGAGCCAATCAGCATTGAATGACACTTTATTATCATAATAAATTTGTGAATAGACTCATTTCAGGGGTTCCAGAGCAAGTGAAATACTCAAATGCTTTATCTTCGGCTGTCTTTGGATCGCAACCACTCATTTTACATCACATCATCCGAGGCAATCATTGGATTATAATTTATTTCATCGCATTGATAGCTGTGTGACGGGACTCATGACAGTTTCAGGGTTCTCAGATTCGTAAGTGATGAAAATAACATACTTTCAATCGTGCGTTCCCAAGGTTCCGACCTGATGAAAACATGGCACTATAAATTCGGAAGTTTTAGTACATTTCACGTCGGATAGTATCTTGCACCATAGTCATTCTTGCAAAGTTTATCATGTCTTGCCTCCAAGTCTAAAATGTTTGAAGCGAATTATTGATAATCATTGTGGTTTGGTACCTTAAAATGGACACACTTCCTCCATTCAACTTTAAAACCGAATTTTCACTTCAGTATTTCTTCTAATGTGAGAAAGAAGAAGCTGCTGACTATGAAAGTCAGCAGCGCAATGAATAGCGGTAGCTTGCTCGTTTTCTCCTGAATCTGTCCCTTCGAAATCTCTTGGTACTATTTTCTATACGTTGAATCTTGGTCGTCATGCCCTAAAGCATAAAAGGAGTCGTAAAAAAATCCTGTTGAAAATTTCGTTTATTAAAACATCTTGCATGAAGAGCATATCAATGGAACCCAACTTTTAAAGGAAATTATTTTACGTTTGCTAAGTTAATCCTTTCCTTTGAATTGTTTTTTTTTTTTGTTTCCGTTTCTATGTTTGCTGGTCAATGTGATTGATTTTCTCCACCTATTCTACTATACTTCTACTGAGCTTTAATTTTCAAAAAGTTTGTATCCTAACGAACAATAAAAATGAGCAATTGATACACAATTATTTTTTTTATGAACACCGATGAGTGTGCTTTTCGGAAGTCCAAGTTACACATAAAAGAGTACTCACTCACGTAAAAACACAAAATACATTCCTCAAATTCGCACTGAATATATTAACCTTTGAAGAAAAAGTTGTATTGTCCCGAGTTCGGATTCCCGACCAATACGGGATTTTTCGCGCCATCCTGCTCATGGTTTCCGAAACTGGTTTGACTTTTAACAGCATATGGAACACTCACAAATTCTTGAGCCAGCATTGGACTGAATTGAGAATGAGGGAATGAACGTAGACCAAATTGTTCAAAATGGTAGGGGACTGAAGTGGAAAATTCAGGCTCGCTGTGGTAAAACGTGGCTGGTACAGGCGTTGGGAAGATAACACTTGTTATTATTCTCTTATAGAGAATAAGGCAGGAAATAGGATCTGTGAAAGAAATGCACGCCAGTTCAAAGATTGGAAAGCCAGCAAGTATAGTAAGGACTGCTAAAACTTTATCCTGTCTTGAACTTGCGGGAAGTTCACTTTCTGATCGAAATACGCCGTTAAATCCGACTTCCTGGATTGTGTTCGGTGTCACTCCAGCTGCCGAGTGCAAACTTAACACGGCAGTCACAGCTGAGCGGAGCAGCTCAGTGGAGATCAGAACGTGTCTTTGCTCTGAAAAACGTACCAAGAGACAAAGATATGTACCACATTTGAGAAAAATAATATTACGCTTAATAATTGAGAAGAATTAATCTGTTACTGTTGAGTTTATATACACATTATGTTGAAGATGATTCACTACAAAATGCACATTCAAAATTCATTACAAAATAGATATTACAACTCACTTCTGTGCAGAAGGCCCTCACTGATGCACGAGATCAAGTCAAGAACTCCCTGCTCGGCCTTTATAACGCTGAACGTTACAGCGCCCGATACACTGCCGAATGCTGTGAAGATAATTATTACTCATAAGACGCGTGAAATTTTGTTCCATTGTTTTGGGTTGTTTCTATTGTCATTTTGTAAGCACTTAATTAATGTGGTGTGAACCTGGGCAGGAAAAATTAAAATATGTGGCACAATTGTGCTGCTTGTACAGTTAAATTATGTGCTTCGTTCCAATATTGTCGCGTGATGATAAAAACTATTCTATTTATGTAATCGTTGTTCTATCTTCCCTAAACTCGGAGCAATTTTGTTTTTGTTTTGTTTATAGGGAAGTGCGTGTTGAGTGTGAATTATAGTACGTGAAGTTTGTGTGTGGGTATTAATGAAGGTTTATTATCATGCCAAATAATTAAACTTTTTTGAATTCATTTCCTCGTATTTTATTATCTGTCTGCGTTTCCATTTAAGCGCGCATTGAGTGTGGTATTCACATGAAGGCGATTGACTGCACTTTCTGTCACATCTTGAATTTCGGGTGCTATCCAAATTAAAATTTTCACTGTTCGTCGTAATTTAGGAGACAATGAGTTATTAGAAATTTTACTGATTAATGTTCCATTTAATTGAAATTATGTTCCGTTTTACTGTAACGGAGACCTTAGAGATTAAGTTAGATTAAGTGTCGATTTCGAGAGAAGTTTTGAGGCATTAAAGGCTCATCTTTGACTGGCTTATGTGATACGGAGGTGACTCAAATGGTGTTCTAGGCAACTGTATTGCCCGCAGTGACCAGAGTGCAATTCACTTCCTATCATCTTTTTGATTTAATGCATGCTATGGGCCCTTTATCAAGATTAATGCATGCCACGTTACTATTTGGTTTGACCCAACTTTAAGACGTCTCTGACGCATTAATTAAACTTGGCAGTATTGCCGGCTTTCGAGCCTATTAACTTTACGCCCTGTGGCGCTTTAACCCTATCAACTTAGTCACGTTGGGTCGACCAGCCATTTATTAATATGCTAACCTTTGCACTCAATTGCCCTTGCAAACACCTTTGTACCTCTAAAAGGCTTTCTAGCCACTTCTAATTGACCTCAGCGGTATTAAATTAGAAGGTTAGTCTCGAAATATATAATTTTAACTTTGCATAAATAGGTCAATTTATCTTGATCCTCATAATTATTAATTGCATACGATACAATAGCACTTGTTCCATCAATCTAATCTTGGTTTGTAACTGTTAATTTTACAGTATAACCTCCGGTATATTCTCGTACGTCTCATCTCTTTTGCCGTGTGCTCCATGCCTCAAGTGCAGCCAGCGCGACATTATTTCTGCTGTACACGTTGTTTCACTTGAGGTTAGACTGGGTGATGCGTTCACTGTCAAGTTTTGTACCGCTATATTGGAATTACTGAGCATAATTGATAAACTCATTTCTCAAGCTCCGGCATTTATTTAGCAAGGTCTCTTTTTCTACTTTCAGTTCCCTAATTTAACTGCATCCACTGCAGTTCCGTTATTCTACTTCGCTGGAGCCGAAGTTTACCCTTTGGAGTTTCAATACAATTGTTAGCCGTTATGTTTTTATAAATTCCACTCAGAGTTCAAAGAGTTTTATGTGAACAGTATAGGTAATTTTAATGTATTTTACTGAGCTTTGTCGGCTGATGAGAAGTGAATCTTCACTGTCTTTAGGTAAAATTGCTCTACCGCACAAGATCACTACGAAATTAAGTGAATCAAAATAAACTATTAAATATGCACCGACGAAAATTTCTGCATTAATGAACTCACAAAAGAACTATCATTCACGAAACAACACGAATGAACTAGCTTTCACTTCCATGAAGATCTCTCAAATAATTTGAATGTAATGCGCACTTACCTCCACTGGGGAGGGAGTGCAGCGTTATGGTGGCTGGGGCAGAGGCAGCGTGAGCCTGCGCGCGGTACTCTCCTGTGTGCTGAGCAGACCGCCCCATCCTACCAGCATCACAGTTTATTACGAAAGTAATCTACAGAAACACAGTAATTTTATGAACTTAACATATACTTTAATATAAAAGGAAGAAAACGTGATTCATTTCTTCCCCAAGTCACCGAAAAAAGTTGTTTACCGCACTTGATCGCTTCTGCTTATATTGTTTATTGTTGTTGATAAGATTTCGTTACTTTGAATCGACATCCCAGTTACTCACCAGTCAATATATCTATACAAGTAAGTGCCATCGGGAGAAAACTTCAATAGTTTGTCTAATGACCGACGACCCTCCGACAGCACCACCATGTAATCTTCGTCGGAGAGCTGATAGAGAAAATATAAACATTGAAAAAAAATGAGTTTGTTAACTCCCAACGAAAAGGTTATAGAGCACGATTGCAACGATTGCAAATTTTCATATAAATGGTGGAGTTGAAGCAGCAATCAAAATCATTTGTTACGATTAGAAGAAACATTTTTTCTACTTTTTAATTTGAAATAATATGGGATCGTTTAATTAACAGTAGTTATGTTTGCAAATTTGCATAAGTAAAATTAATTCAGACCTTCAGCTTTTAGTCAATCATAAATGGTAACTAGATATAATTTCCACCATTTTAACGATGAGTTTTCCAACAAATGCTGAAAGCAATTGTATCTGTTGTAATAATTTAGTTGAAAATATGCGGAGTTATGACATTCATAAATTGGCATTTTTACTCACCTTACTAATGTAGGAGTCGTTAAAATTCTCAGTCGTGCTGTGGGCACCGCAGAGCCTGATAGTGGGGCCCTGGGCGAGCCCTCCCAGCACGAGGCACAGCCCCGTCAATGCCCCAAACAACATATGCAGCTTCATGCTACTTCAATCCTTATTTATTGTTTAACTCGAATTATTTCGATTTTTATAATTAAATCTTATTTTCTTGCTGATGCGATTAAGTGAGAAATCTGCCAAAACCGATTTCTTTATTCAATGAAATCAAGCGTTCATTCAATGTAAAAAAGACTTAACTAGACATTCATTTAGCAAAGCCATTGGTAAAATTTAGACTGAAATAATAATAATAAGATATATTTTTTTAGAGTGATATAGAGTGATCCTGGTTGCCATTTTCGGTATAATCATAGAGGTGCGTATATACGTAGTGATGTTTGTACATATTTTATAATTTCCAACCTCAAATACCGAAACTTTATTTCACCTAAAATTTTATTATTGTATGCAGTGGTAAGCATTCTTCTATTACGAATTTTCATACTTATTATTTTATTATTATTAAGCATGGACAGCTGTCCATTCTTAAAGCCCCAGAATTGAATCAAACCAACTCTTGGCTTTAGTTCTATCATTTTCGCTTAAGTAATTGAACGATGGAAGATCTTTCCACAGCCTTTTTGGGACCCATGGGTTCATGTTTTCGGGATGGGGCCCCAGACGTATAAAACACAACACATACGCTATACCCAGCATTTAATTACACGAAATGCAACATTACTTCTGATTTCACTACAAAAATGAAATTTTCTGTTTGTTTTGTTCCTTACACAGGAAAAAATTTAATATGCATAAAATAATCAATCAAATAATTGATTAATTAATCAGTACAGTAAGTGGTTAATCAGTACGGAAAAAACACGCGTGAACAAATATGAGAAGAGCTCGTGGGTCGTTGTTATTCGATCTTCATCACCAGAACAAACTTGTTTCTTGTGCTCCAGCTGCTGCCTTTATACCTACAGAAGAGAACAAAAAAAGCTCCTCACCAACCTATTATTTGAGATACTTGGTTCAAGTTCAACCGAACCGGTTATGGGGTTATTGACTAGCCTAAAAAATCGACTCGTAGCATCCAACAGAAAGAAGCTGTGAAATTAAGCTCTGCTCCGAGCGAAATAAATAAATAGGGAACTGGTTAATGACTTGATATGTGGCCGCCGGCGTCCGTAGAATACGTAAGAATTCTGTGCAGGTATATTTTGTACAGGATCCAGTGTAAAATATACACAACAAATTTTCTAATCTCATTACTGAATATTATCAATTCCTCTTTCGTCCCGGGACCGTGTCTAGTATCTTTTTTGGAGTTGTAAATGATTAAACAATTTTATTTCGACAGTACAACGTGTTATGTAAGATGCTCAAGCAAAGTATGCACCGCACCTAAACAGACAAATAAATAGTTAGTTCGAGACGTTCAAATTAGCAACTATCGACCAATAAAATCAAAAGAAGCAACTTGAACATTCTTCGCACACGAGACCGAGAGTACCAATTACAAAACCAACTATTTGGTCTTCACTGATTAAGCAAGTTTGCCAAGATCTACTTTTTCAGAGTTTTGGTTCAGACAGACAGAATAAAGGCTTGGTCAATGACCTAAGGTTCTCAACAGGCTGGTCAATCAGTGTACTTCATTTACATTTGGAGTGCTCTCTGCTCTTGGTTCAAAGACCGGCCTCACGAGTTGCGCTATGGATGTACAGTTTTTTATTATTTTTCGTTGAAAAAATTATTACAAAGCGCCATGATTTTGATTTTGCTATCGACCCCTTTGTTTTTTCGCTCTTTAGAGAATGCAAAATATCCATTGTTAAATGAGTATGTAGAGTAAAGATTGAAGTAAAAGCTGCTCTAATATAATCCATCAGAAATTTAGATGGATTATATAGTGTTGTGAGTGATGAAGACTAATGCTGCCCCTCGTACAGTTATTTTAAATTTTCAAAGTGGATGAGGGAGTATCAGCAGAAAAACCTTTCATTTGAGTCACTTAATTGCTGGTGGTAATGATATTATTTATGAGGGTAAGTTTATTTGATAGCTATTGTTCCATCAATTTGTCAATAAGGTTTATGCCAATGCATCTAAACACAAGATTTAGGCATTCATCTTGGAACAAGAACGGTTGTCACTATAGTCATCCAACTCACCTAACATTTTGGGTTCATCTTGTTCTGGACTGGCTTATGAGACCCAACTGCATGATAGCTCATCTTCACCTATACTATTTCTGTTCCTGCAGTAGACGTTCCACCTTTCATTTAGTCACTTCCATATTGTTTGCTGCTAAAAGGAGCTTTTTCGTGAAAGTTGTTTTTCTTTGTTTTGGGTTACATGTCGCAAAAGACTTCTTCTTTTAAATAGGGGCGAGATGAAATGCTCGGTTTGAATAATTTTTCAAGATCTGATCTGATTATTTTCATTTTCTTGTTGAATATTTCAGATGTCGATAAAAGAAACGTTGTCCAAGTTTGAGAAATCGGAAATCAATTTATCCCCCGTAATTTCAATTTCATTACGAGGATTCAGAAACATGGTGAGCAAAGGGAAAGTATAATTAACCATAAAAAACTTTCTTATTGTCTAAAGCTGTACATAGGCTGAAACTCTTATAAAGTGAAACCATTAATCCAAAATTTAACAGTTTAACTTCTTTTGCAGAAAGATTTTTTACCCATGGAAGAAAATGTTGTATTGCCCCAAAAATGGGTTTTCTGCAGTTATGGGACTTTTAGCGAGCGCATTTTGCGCATGATTCTCAACGTAACTAGAATGTTGAGCAGAGTATAAAACACTTACAACTTCTGTAGCGAGTGAAGGGCTAAGATGAAAATGATTGGTTGAGGGATGCGCTACACCGGACTGCTGTACAACGTAATGCGGCAACGATAATGTGGGAACTGAGTGGGAAAATGATGGGTTGATGTAGTACAACAATGCTTGTGGCGATGCTGGGGAGCTAGTTGAACTTATAAAAAACGAAATACAAGTCTTTGGATCGATTCCGCCACCAAATAATGCGAGTCGGCACAAATAAGTAAGACTGAGTGCGGTTTTTAGTAGTTCCAAAATGAAATCCAAAATGCTCTATCTCGGACTCACTATAACTTCGCTTCCTGATCGCAAAACCTCACGGAGCCCATCATGCCTCATTGAGCGAACAGTGTCATGAAGATGAGAACGTGTCGGTGCTCTGTAAAAAAGTGCGAATAATTTGGTAACCTCTCTTGCTTATACATGTAGTATCTCTTCTCAAATTATTAAAATATTGCATAAAGGTATTTTCCTAGCCAATACGTTACTATAAATTCCATGTCAGTGGAAAATTTCTGAATAAATCTTCAGATTATAATAATCACTTGCTTGTGATAATCACTCACCGCGGTGCAGAAGGCTCTCACTGATGCAGGAGATCAATTCGAGAACTCCACGTTCGGCCTTCACTACGCTGAACGTTGCAGAGCCAGATCTGCCTCCGAATGCTGTGAAGATGTGCGAAACTAATAAATTATTTAAGATTATTAGTACATTTTAGCCCGGAGAAAATTTTTTATCCTGTTAAATCGCTGCCATTTTCACTCAACACATAAATGGAAGAACCGCCAAGAACTAAATGATAAATAACTTCCAGGGTTTGATCTTTTTACAAAATGATCTAAAGAGATCTAATAATATAAATGGCAATCAAAAACTTCTTCCTTTAGCTGGTATATCTAAAATTTATGCTCCATCGCCTCCTCCGAAAAAAAATGTTAGAAAGGATTAGCGGAAAAGACTAGACAGTGGCGGAATGTCTGTATCAAGTAAAGATTAAAGTGTGGTTTGTTGGTGCACTACCCAGTCAATCAGGTCTTGATCGATCGATGAAGATTAGGGCGGATCGATGAAGAAATTAATGCAGATTCTTGCTCGATCGACATGGGCAAACCTCCATTTGGAGTGGGCAACGGAGAGGGCAATGTCGCGGGGTGCAACGACGATTATTGAGGATTTTTCTATGCAGATTCGGCGAAGATCGTCGAAGTTTCTGCACCTGATAACTTGTTGAATCGAACAATCTGCACCGATCGATGTCGAATCTACACTAGCTGAAGTCGAATCTGCATTAATCGATGTCGAATCATCATTGATCTACGTCGAATCTACATTAATCTATGTCTAATCCATAAATTTTTTTTTCTCTCTCTACGAGATCATCGACACGTTATCGTTCACTATGACATGTCAGATTTTATGGTCTTTGCTGTCGAACATTTGCATCGTATATATCAATTACAATCTCACAAATTCAATTACTAATGATATAGAGAAGTTACAAGTAATTCACAGCTAAGTTCTCTTACCGGATAAACGTCGACTGCAGCTCCGAGATTCGAACGCGGGAAATTCGCGTCCAAGTTTATGCCTCAGCCCACTTGACCACCAAGACACCTTACCACAGCGAGCTCTATCAACTACATACTGTAACTACGAAACGAATGGCTTGCAATCGTCAGGTAAATAGAGGAATAGCCACATTTGTGGTGGAACTGTTTAAAGATTATTCATTTATATATATTTTAGAGGAATGAACGCAGTTTCTATTCAATCGATAAAACAATATTACTCGTATTGTAAAGGAGACAAGCACTATTTCTCTTGCCACTTTTTATTATTTTCGGGCAATCGAAATTTATTTCCAAGTAAGTTCTCTAGTTTATATAAATTTTGTATTGGAGCTGATTAATTTACATCGAAATTTATTTCTCAATTATTTATTCCCTCAAATCAGCCTCGTTGAAAAACTGATGCAAATTTGTCATGATTAATAGAACACGCTAGAGCAGCTGTAAGAAAATGTTTTGAATATGAACTTTGAAGAAGTTTATGATGGGATCTTTTTAAATAAAAATATTGTTAAGCTTTGAAGCAGTTTATTTATACGACTGTTAGTCGATAGCAGGAGATTTATATCGTGCATGTAAAAAACGTTTTCTTTACACTCACGTTAGAAAAAAAATTTTAAGGCATACTAATCTATATCTCCTGAACATTAGGTGGAGGTAACATTAAGGATTAAACGTTCCTCTTTGCGGAAGCGTTCAAACTTGGAAAGCTAGTAAAACACTTACGTATTTCAAAGTATTAAAATAATAACGTGGTATAATAATCGTAACTGACATCAGAACTCTACCCGACATAGCGCATTCTATCTATTGAACTAGATTGAACGCAATTTTGAATAAAATTTTAACTGGGTAATCATAAGTTAAAGTGCATATCAATTTCCGATCAATTATTCTATTAGATTGAATAGCCAACCGACATGTTTTCTCATGAATTTTTCGGTTTGCTCTGTAAAGTTGCCCACACTCAGATACTTCGATCTGCAACGATAAACCCACAGTCGATAGTTCGCCATGCATCTGCATAGATTATTCAAGGAAATTCGACTTCTAAATCTTCGAGTGGTCGGATCACCCGCGATATGCAGTAACCTACACTAATCGACATCGTTGCCCACATTGGTGATTGACAGGGTAATAAATTACTTAAGATTTGATTTCAATATAATTATGAACAGGGGTTTTAACCCTCTACCGCCTGGCATGAGTAACCGGAGCAATATTAGAATAGAATGGAAGTGTCGCTCTGGACCTTCGTGAAGGGCACACAGAAAAATATACACATAGAAAAAACTTACTTAACTAACTCGTAAACTTATAATGAATGTAGCTGAGTCATGGTCATTTCTCAAAGACACGGTTATGTCTGCAGTTGATGCGTGTGTACCTAAAATTAAGGTCGGTGGAGCAAAAAAAAAACTCAGTGGATGAACAGTATAGTTCTAGCTAAGCTGAAAACCAAGAAGGAAGCCTTCCAGCGTTATTTAAAGACTCGTAGCGATGCTGATTATAACCTATACTCAAGAGCTCGAATTCAAGCTAAAAAAATCTATCGCACCGCAGCAAAAACCTTCGAAAAAAATATTTCCATAAATGCAAAAAGAACCTGAAAGCAATTTTGTACGCTAGCTCGAAGTGCAAGACAAAGGACGGTATTTCTGATTTGTAAGTAGTTCAACGAAAGATATCCTCTGATGAGGGCGCAAGGCTAACGTTCTTAATCAGTTTTTTAGCAGCGTATTCACAGAAGAGGACTTGAATGGTATTCCAGCTATTGAGGAGCCCCCAGTTGGCTCTAAATTTAAACACTTTGAAATGCAAGGAGAGGTTCTCAAGCGCCTGATCGCTCTAAATCCAAACGTCAAACGTCATGTGGACCGGACGGCTTCCGCTTCAGATTACTCAGAGAGTTAGCAACTGTCCTAGCCGCCGGCCCTTGACGTAATTTTTCGAAAAACTTTAAACGAAGCGATCTTGCCGGCTGACTAGAAAGAAGCTCAAGTGACATCATTGTTCAAAAAATATGATAAAAGCAGCCAGGCAACTATCACCCTGTCAGTTTGAAAAGTGTCGTTTGCAAGATAATGGAATCTGTTGTGAGGGATCGATTGATCGATCGTTCAACTGTTAATAATCTCCTATCAGCGTGTCAGCATGGCTTTATTGCCGGTAGATCCTGCCCCACTAACCTCTTGTCGACTCTGAACGAATGGACCCGCCTGCTGGACGAAAGGGAGCCAGGGGATTCAGTGTACCTCGATTTTGCCAAGGCATTTGACAGTGTCCCACATGAGCTGCTGTTGCGTAAATTGAATTGAGAGTAATGTACTCAACTGGATCAGAGATTTTATAGTAGGGAGACGACAACGTGTCAGTATTAATAGGTCCGTATCAGACTGGGCTCCAGTGTGCAGCGGCGTGCCACAAGGAAGCGTTCTCGGGTCTGTGAATGCTGACGACACAAAAGCTTACAATACAGTGAAGGTTCAATGTGATCTTAACAGATTGTTTGCCTGCGCTGATAAGAGGCAGCTGCATTTTAACGCTGACAAATGCAAAGTAATCCACCTTGACAAGAATAATGAACAGCATGATTACAGTATGAGAAGACATGGTTGCAACGACAGAATGATGATGTCGAAGACGACAAAGAAAAAGATTTAGGAGTTTATGTCGACAATGAGTTGAAATTTTCTAATAATATGGAAACTTAAGTTAATAAAGCCAATAAAGGACTAGGACTGATCTGACTAGGACTAGAAACTGCGTTGCGACACATCCATGCGACAACATTTCTTCTCGCTTCGAGTCACCGACATGTGTAACAGCCTCCCTGATCATTGTTGACGTTCCGATTATGAGGTCTTCAAGAACTGACTAGACAGACCGCGCGCAGCGTGAGCCTGCGCGCGGTACTCTCCTGTGCGCTGAGCAGACAGCCCCGCCCTGCGGGCATTATACTTGTATCTCAAGTTTACTTTCACTTACAATGAAAGCAGTGAATTGTAAACCATATAAATTATTTCATGCAGTTCATGGATGAATATCGCTTAATGTTGTAATGTTAATTACAATACTTTCACACAAATCGCCCAGTGAATAGCTTTTCTCTCAGGACAAAATTAGATTATCAAAGATAATAATGCAAATCGCTCATTGATCGATATACGTATGGATGTAAGTTCCATTTGGAAAAAAACTTCAACTGCGTTCCGGATGACAGCTGACCATCCGACACCAACACCAGGTGATCGTCGTCATCAAGCTGTATGAGGAAATTTGCATGAAAAGTAATGATAAAAATTTTGGAATAACATTAACAAATTCAATTTTTACATAACAGATGCGTACTTTGATATGATTAAGCCCGTCAGTCGTTAGAACGGCTTCCAAATATTATTTGCACTAGCACACATGAACGCGATATAATGAACCAGATTTTTAGTCTTCTCTCATAAGACCATAAATTTGATGAAGACACAAAATCACCATAGCAATAAACAACTCAGTGTTAGTTGTCGCTGCGATCTCGTTTGTCGAGTGCAGGAAACATCGTAAAAGCATCGATATCGGCATTCAATGTGGGAAAATAAATAGTTGTAATAATACTCTATTTTCATGCCCAAAAGGCGCGTCCGATCAATTCAGAATAATATTAAAGAAGGAATATCAGATTTCGCAGTTAATAAAAACAGCGAAATTTTACTCACCTTACTAATGTAGGCGTCGTTGAAGTTCTCAGTCGTGTTGGGGGCACTGCAGGGCCCAATCGTGGGGCCCTGGGCGAGCCCCCCCCCCCAGTGCGAGGCACAACCCCGTCAGTGCGCAAGACAAGGTCGGCCTCTTCATAGCGTTAGTAACTTATTTTTGCTCGTGAATCTATAGCTATCTGCCGAAGTTGTTACAATAAGCAAAATAACTGACCGTTTTTATCATCATATCGTAAGTTCCAAATTGTAAGGTATTTTTACTGAAATTAATAATAATTTAAGGGTCAGTTCTCTCATTTTTACCCTAACCAGGGTCTAGCTGGAGCATGCTAATCTACCCACACGGGTGAACGTGAAGCAAGTAATGTGGCAGGATCGCACGTCTCACCATTAATTTGTGCGTGATGTATAGAGGAACATAGAAAAAACTTACTTAATTCCTCCGTAGGCTTTTGTCAATCGAACATGTTTCATAATTTTTTTCTACAGATGAAATAACTAAATAAGTATATTAATATATCAAGCATTTTCCGGCATGGCATTTCGGCGCAGACGGCAGATGAATCAGCACTCTTGGAAGCAGTAAATTTTCCTCGTTTATTACTTCGCCTCTACACCGCCATCTCTGCCCATGATGAACGTCTTCGGTAATTAAGAATTTAAATGCACTTTAAGCACCGCCAAATACTTAGTTCAAATGCCTTTAGCTGTGGATTTACAAACTTTGAACGTGAGCCATGTTATTTTAAATGCAATTCGTTGAGGAACATTGATTATTTAATAGAAATTCAACATTGTTGAGCCCAAAAAGACATTCTATTTATAATTGCCTATATAGGTACTTTATTGACCGAAATAATGACGAATTGAAAATCTTCAAACGAAACTTCAATGCACATGATTTTCCCAAAATTAGGAATAATTTTTAAATGGAAACCTGCCATATGCGTTGAAAAACACTTCGATAAGTTTCAACAGCAACGTACATTTTCACTCGTAGGTTCCTCTTCAGCTCTATGAACGAAGTAGCCTTCTCAGTTGCTGCTTCTGCTTTTATATCGTCTGAGAGCAACAAAAAGTTCCCCAACTTGTTTTATATTTCCTTTGCGTTATTTTAAACTGTCTATGCGTGGGACTGACTTGACTTGATTAGCATGCCCAAAAATTCAACGAGCTTCGAAAGACAAAGTAACTCATGAAAGCTCGACAATGGTGGGAGAAGAGAAAGAGAGTTGTTGATTGCTCAAGCTCATGCATAGCTAAGTGATTCTCCTGTGAGAGACTACCCTTCGATAACTTTTACGAAATATTTATCATGATTTCATTTCTCCTCACTTTTTTGCCCAGATAATAAATTATTCATACATGACTAAAATGAAAACCAGCGAATAAACCCATTCGGTGCTGATGACCCCAATACCGTGTGCTTGTCTGCTAACTTTAGCTGGCAGACTGAAGCCTAATTGTGTATAGTGCTTAGAGTTCGGTCAACGACTTGATTTTTTGCTGATTACTTTAACTTTATTTCAGCATTATAATCGCACTGCGTGCAGAGCCATGACCTGTTTAGCCATTTTCCTCCTTCAAGGTTTTATCATACAAGCCTACCCATAAATTCGGATTCTTTTATATGCTTCAAATGGTAATCGTTTAGGAAGGGTTTGAATACGCGATTTGTTTTCTTGTTTTATTAAAATATGTTTTCACAAAACAAATGTACAATATGGTATAAGTAATTGATCATGAATTAGTATTGCACATGGGGTTTTTATCGCACATTAATAACTGAAATCGAGTGTAAATGCTCATAACATGATTCCTACTGAAACACATAACAAATTCGGGGAGCATTCGTAAAAATGAAAGATGTTTCGAAAGACTGTGATTTAAATGAAATGTTGTATGAAACCATCTGGCCAGAAATATATCATCAGATCGCCAACGCTAGAAACAGATGATTTTTTAAAAAAGTAAGACCGCTTTGATGCCCTTTCTCAGCATGATCTGTTGAACATTAATATGCTAGTTCATTTTTTCAGCTGGTGAAGTTTACCAGCTACAAGAGGTACAAGTTCAATGACGATGATTTAAGATGGTTTCTTAATAAAACCTGTGCAGCACCACCGTCCAAACAAATAGGAGTAAGATTTGTTTTTGTAATGAATAAAACGATGAGAATAGATCTAACAAGCAGGCAAAACTTGTGTTGTTCAAAATTGGGCGCGGAAACTCGATTAGAATTTATGATTTATAATAAAATTTGTGGAGGAAATATTTTGCCTATAAAAAGGCACAACTCATAAAAATAGTTCATAGAAGCCTGCAAGATTTGACTTCCAGTTTTGTGATTATACTATGATCTCTACCGAGTCATCAAGAATGTGTTATGAATTATTATCAATTGAGATTATAACTGGGCTCCCAATGTGGGACTTGCTACAGATCCTCGCTGGTAAGCTTTGCTCTGCTATAATTCACTTCATAAATGAAGGAAATAAAGGAGAAAAAAAATCAGTGACAGGAACAAATCACGTATTGATTTGTTTTTGAGGGGTCAGAGCAAAAAAATCCATATAGATGATTACAGATTTGAGACCACTGTGAGGTTACAATAATTGTCAAGAAGCTGGGTAATTTATATGTCCTTATTGGAACCAAATATTTTACAGTTGAAATTAAAGTTTTTGCCCAGTTTCTTGAATCCGCTGCTTTATATGAGTTAGTGATTAAAGCATGGAAAAATTCTTTAACGTTCAAGATATGGTGTACTGCACACCAGACAAAATCTGCGAAAACAGCCACTGCAACGAAAAGAGCGGGGCAACAGCAACCAGGCTGACAAAATATATCAGGGTTTGCATGTCCCCGAAAGAACCACGTAATAATTATTTGGGAAAAGCGAAGGCAATGATTTAAAAGTAGAGCGTCCCATCGTGTGAGCCCCTCTGCCCCAAACGACTATGGTGCAAACCTTTTCATATAAGGAATATCACACGCACCTCCAATATTATATTCGTAGGATAACACATATATACTAGTTTATTAGTAAAAAAAATTGCCAGACAATCACCCATGGATGTCTTTTTCTAATAATTTTCTGTTTATGACCAATTGCACAGATTTTGACCGCTTACGGCTGAGTTATTTGATGGGTCTATTCAGTAAATGCTTTATATTTCACTGAATTCTGAGTTTTTTAAACTGTTCGAAGTCATTCTAGGCACTTTCAAAGGAATGCTCTAAAGTTCCTTTATCATATGACCTCATGGGCACAACTGAAGTTATTTTCTCAACCATGTTAAATCAGCCGAATATTTAATTTCAGGTAATCCATGGCATAATCGTTTTGTATTGTTTATTCCTTAAGTGTTTCTAGTTGCATTATAATGAAAATAATTTTATCGATAAATGAGGAACAAAACCACTTAGAGGAAATGCTTCAAAGGGAATCGCCGCTGAGTTGTGGAGGGCAGATCAAGTCCACGTGCCGAATTTTTCGATGACCTGGAATTCAATACAGAATAATGACGTACATATTTTTCAAGACGTAATTTTTACTTATACAAGTACAATTTCCTTACTATTTTTCCAGATTTGGCGAATTTTATTATCTATGGATTTGAATTTGATGTTTCAATGTTGAGATATCTCTTGTCATTAAAGTTGACCAGAAACTTATAGGAATCGGGAAACTGCTAAAGGATGTAAGTGAATGTTTTAACCTCTACAAAACGAGCACCGACCAGGCGCTTTTACAACGATGGACCAATACATCCGGTAATGCTCTAAAGACTAAACCCCCAACCTTCAGACAAATGTTGGTGAACAATGGGAAAGCGAACAAATCAAATGACGCTCAAATTTTAAATTAGTGATCAAGACAAAACCCAAGCCAACAATGAACTATAACTATGAACTAATGAACTATAACTAGGATTGAGCTTCAGCAACTTTATTGTACAAAGGTAGAGAACATCACACAGACATATTTTAAACATTTAATTCTGGAGCAATCAATATGAATAATGATGATAATTGGATAGGAGAGAAATAAATACGAGTTTAGGAAAAATTAATTTACTTCTAGAATGTTTGAACATTAGAACGCCAGGTTATGGTTCGACGCTTTTGGAACTATTCAAACTTTTCGCAACGTTCGATCTACCACATGCGCTGCTAAAATCAATGAAAATAGTCGATCTCCAGCAGATATAGAGCAAGCAAATGAATGCGGCCTCATTTGCGGTCTGCTATGAGTATACGTAATAATGCAGTCTAAAGACTAACAATTTGGCTACTTGCTGTACAAAGCCGTGCCCAACCATAAACTGGTTCGGCTCTCGATTTTATTTTTTAAAGAGTAACTTTTTCACAGGTGAATGATTTTATTATAGATAACCAATCGCTGCACGTAATCAACAACATTATTCAAGATTAAATCTCCAAACTGCAATGAATTTTTCTTCGATTTGTTGCAAAGAATCTGCGAACAATCAATTTCAGCCTGAAATCACTCGTAATTTGAGTCATATACGATTCGAAATGTTCGACTTAAAATCTAAAAATAAACTGACCTCAACTGTACCTGTGACATATTGCTTAAAAAGAGTCTCGCGAATAAAGCCATAGGACTTTCCGGCCCTCAAACTCGTTTGCAGGTATTACAGTTATTTATTGAAGCTGTGAATTCTGGTTTTACTTGCCTGCATGGGGACAGTTCTGATGTCCGGAGGGAGGACAGGAGGGAAGGGCTGTTCGAGTTCAACCCCGAATGGTCTGACATGGTAGAGGAGGTAATCCATCTCGTCGATCTGATCTGGTCGAAGGTGGTGGAAACTGATGGCGGTGCTTGATAACCAGTCAGGTCCCTGGGAAAAAATATTATTCTGTATCTGACACTCCCATAAAACCTAATTTGACTCTGATGGACTGTCGTGAAATTTCTGTCGTAATGTTCAGATATACATATCATTCCGTGCCTTAATTTATGTCCTTCAGTTACTTTGAAATAAAAATTTTTGCCAATTGTCCAAACTGACTCGGCTCTTGCATGGCTAAGACCTAACACTACTGTTCTCCTAAGGTAAATAATTTCTTCAAGTCTATGATATTTCGCAAATGAATATATTCTTCTGATGATGGTGTAATGATTGTTTAAGAGCAACGCGCTATTTTGTTTCATGATGTTGCGTTTATGTTAAATAAAGCTTGATTTGAGTTTGCATATGCGGTGCCACTCAGAAAGGGAGGGAAAGCATGAGGTGACAGAAGAGAGAAGAATAAATAAAAAACAGAAGAAGAGACAAAAACGACACAGAGCATATAATTATGCTGAAGGTAGGTTTTTTGCATTAGGTTCAGGTTCAATTCGGATAAGCCGGAACCTGCGTAATCTTTGGTGAGTTGTACGAATGAACGAGGAGCAAACTATGGCACAATATTTCTGATTTAATATCTTGGATTATTATATGAAAATAAAAATGGCACACACTCTCTATTTGCTCATGCATTTCGCTTTTTTATGTTTAATGTTGTAATATTTTTTAGTACTTTTCGACAAAAAATCATGTTATAGTGAAGTTGATGATGGTGATGGGGATGTTGGTGAGTCACTCAGGAGCTATGTTGAAATGTTATTTAATGACTTGACAATAGGTCTTCAGTCTGGTCTTGGTTATTAGCTGTGAGTCCAATTCGTAGAGTAACGTCTGTTGTGCGTCTTGGTGGAGGAGGTGCGGTGCTACTAGGAAAAGTGAAGAAATAACAAGAGGTGTAACAGAGTAGCCAGAAATGTGAAGAGAAATGGTGAAGGCAATTGGAGAAGGAAGTCCCGCATAACTCTGTTAATTGATTGCTGGTGTCTAGTTAGGTTGGGGAGAGGAGGGAGGGTAAAGATACCTTGATTGATGTCTATGATGGAGTGGGTCGTGGTTCAATTTACATTATTTATATATACAAGTTTGCGTTGAGAAATATAGATATTTAGGTAGTGAGTCACTATCGGCGAGTTTTGCCTGTCATTCTATCTGGTAAATTCAGGTAGCGTCATTCTGGTGGAGCGAGAGTCTAGTTGTTTGGGGATAACTGCACCCAGGCGCCCAGATGTATCCAAAGATCGCCGATGTGCACATAGTCTTTTGTGTTGGTGGTTTGGGTGTGTGGGGTTGGTGGTTATGTGTTCAGGGGTGAAGGTGGGGGGCCTAGTGAGCTTATTTGAAGCACTTGAATAACCGATGCCTTCTTTCTATGGCGTCTAGAGGAATGTAAGAAGATTGAGGGCCAGGCAGTTGTTGGGTATGTGGCATTCCTCGTGTATTTTCATCATAGGCATGAAGTCGGAACGGTGTATGTATGCGAAGAATCTTAATTATTAATCTCACACACAGCCCAGCAAACCCGCGAGTACACAAAAAATGGACATTCACTTCGAAAACTGGCCACAACATATAAAAGATGCATCCGAAATCTCGATTCTGAGTCATATCCTGTGTAAAAATTGTTCTCTAAAGAATTCTCATACAAATACAATAGCAAGCCAGTCTTTATCACAACTCCTCATGGTACTTCATACTTATTAGCCCCCATCAGACACCTATAAAGCCAGACATATGAGGAAGTTAAAAGTGACTCCGTGCATCTGCCCTCACTTGAGCAAATTTAGGCCTGCAACAATAGAGGCTTGCAAAAACTACTGAACTCTTCCTAACACTTGGTGAGATTGAAGTTACTAGTAACCCATCCAACACGAAGACGTAAGTAATTCAAGCTACCAGATTCTATTCGCCAATGAAATAAGAAAAACTATGCGTGGCATAACCGTTCCACACTTTATTCAGTTTGTAATTTGGTTTCTGTGCCTTTATGTGCTATTCATTTTTCGTCATAGCCACTTGAAATTTTTTAAATTATTTTCTTAAATTTAACTTTACTTTATTTCAACCAAACACCAAAAATTCGGGGTGGGTATTGTTCAAAATAAATTATGCTTATCTACTTATCACAATTTAATGATAAATTATGTTCCAGATCTTTCTCATAATGGCGCCAGTGTACTTCCGCTAATAAAATTGGTTTATTCCTGCAAGGCATACTCAGCACATACATAGTGCACAGTACATGTACTTACAGTTTAATTTACCATTGATGGTGAATGATCGGTCAATATAATGTTACCCGTCAAAAACTCACAAGCTTTGGAGGGTAGAAACTATGAGGCCACTCCCAGCTCTTGTTTCCCTGTAAGGCGTAGGACAGCTGGTCTGCGGGAGGCTGATAGAAGAAGCGCCCTCTGCCCAGCTCGTCTCTTGAGTCCCCGGCCACGACACCAACATTGGTCAGGCAACGACCTAGGGCAAGCCCCAAAATAAGCAGAGAATCTGTACTCTGTTGATGCGATAAAATTAAGTGACAAATAAAAGTGAGAAGTGAAGTCAATGGCTGAAGTTGTCTATTCGGGATTCACGACGAACACAGGGTAGAGATTTAGAGTAGAAATTTGGTGGGGAAAATCAGTACTATGCGGCAAAAAATAGAAACTTAAACAAACAAAAATAATTATACTTTAAATTAAATAATAAATAATTATAATCTACTGTTACCTAACACTTTCAGATTACTTCAGACAGAAAATGATCTAACATAAAGGGCAATCTCATTGGTCCTCCACTACAACTCCCCACATGCAGGCTTGCCTCTCGCTCAGTCTCTTCTTGCCCACCGCTTCTACATCAGCGACCTACCACCACAGCCTGTCACAGATTAGATAGCATTTGCAGAAGGTATAACGCAATAACTTACGGGCTCTACCCACCCAAATACGAAGCAACACAACACGTAAAACAGCATATCAACACATTTGAAAAAATGGCTCACTAGGACGAGCACAAAAAAGTTTAAAATAATCCCCATTAGTAGGCGAAATAAATCTGATGTGGTCATTGACAGCAAATACTATCCATATACAAACGACGGTACAATCATAGGATAAAAATTTACATCACACAGTTAAAGGTCCCAAGTAAACACCAGGAAAGCAAAAGCCCTCACGAATTTATATAAAATACACAACGGGCAACTGCACCTGGCCGACAGTTATTGAGTGGACGCGCCCAGGTTCAGTTGTCCCGATGAAGACTACGAACTGAAAATCACAGAGTGACTTATCGAAAGGCGATACTGATGGCTAAGCGTAAACCCAACAACTGACTCGCCAAACCTACCTCCTGCGTCTCACGTGGCTCTCCCACCACCTTTATCATCATCATCGCCATTATCAATCATTTCCATCATATCATGCCGTTTGAAAACTAAAAAATTTAACATTCATTAAAATATTTAGAAAGCGGAACTTATGTATACAAGGTAACTAAATGTCATTTTAGTTTTGTATTATACTTAAATATGGAAGTACTGTATTAATTGAGCCACAAATCAAATTTCATCCCCCCCCCCGTGCAAACCATCCAAAGCGCTGCGATGGGTTCCTCCCCTCTGCCCAACCACAATCAAACCCCACGCACCCATAATAAACATGGTTATGCTTTTTTTATCTATGCACCTTTCTCATCCCCAATCGTCATTTTCATTTCTCCTTTCTCTTTCTGCTCATTTTGCGCCTCTTCTTGTTCTTTCCCATTCCTTTCTGATGACATCACAAGCAAGCAAGTAACAATTAACAGTGTTACAGTATGATATTCTCACTCTCCTCTTCAGTGAGAACAGTTCCAGGTGCTCTATATAGGCTATCCCAGTAGCTCCGCTCCACATCCCGCCAATCCCAGACGAGAAGATCTGCTGGACTGCCTCCGATTGCCGCACCACAATTCAATCTCTTGATCGAAATGCCCACTTCATCTGTATTCTGTCATTAGCAACTATTGCAGTTATAAGTGCTTTTTAAACGTGGCATCGGTACTCATTACGACGAGATCATGGACAAGTTGCTTCTCCTCAAATTCTGTGCCGTTCGGTGCCAAATAGCGGTGCTCTATGCTGACCTATACGAACCGGAGCCTGGGCTATAGGTTTAACCTAAGTTTTGTGCCAGTCATTTCAATAAATATATTAAGCTTATACAATAGTCACTATTTTTCCACCCTTCGTTTTTGTCCATCAAGCTCATACAGATGGTCTATAGTCAAGTGTTACGCAGTCGTCGAGTGAAGTATTGTAGATCTTGTCTTACAGAGCCTATTTGCGCATAACATAGTTTTATACAGTTCGTTTACGGAATGGTGATGTATGTTCCTCACTCGACAACCAATTAAAAAAAATCAACAGTCGTTATTCTGATAAGTAAATTAGGCGCAAAGAGATGGCATTGAGAAGTTGCTACAAACGAACAAAGCCATTGTAAATACTATGAATAAACACTTATAAACGCAGGTAAAAATCATTAGAGGGCCTTGCAAAAGTGTAAAATTAAAATAGCACACCGACTTCGACGTCGTCATCCTCCCCGATATCAGAAGCTCTGCATTTTTGTGGATCAGGGAGCGCTTCCTCGACGAATTTCCTCAAGGCGGCGCGGCTAATGACAAAGCCAGCTCCTGTTCGTGCATTATCCAGATCAGAAAAAGTTCATTCGATATTAATGTCAGGAAATATGTAATAGGACTTACAAAGTGACTTTAAACCCACATTGATCATCATTTCCATGCAGTGATCGTTCAATCGAAACTCCTATCAAGTCACGTAGATCACATCAAAATCAAAACAAATTATCATAGAATTTGTAAAATTGTAGAAGAGATTGATTTATGAAATTACATAGTCTTGAATATTATTAAGCTGAATCACAAAATTAATATATATCGCTATTTTGAAGTTAATCAATGAAAAAAAATCAGAGTTATCGTTGATTGCGATAGGCCGATAGCTGAAAATTTCACACGATTTAATATTATAATGTCACTATAATTTGATAATAAATTGATTCCATCCTGATTCGTGAAGAAATGCTTATTGAATAGATAGTGGCTATTTATGAACTTACCTCCAGTCATGTAACCTTCTGGGTTTGAACTCGTGTATCTTTGGCCGAAGTGTATTGGAAACTCCGGGTCGTAGAGGCTAAGCATGTATCGTAAATTTTCTACCACCAAATACCTGAAAGTATTAAATTAAATAAAGTATAATAATTAAATAATTTGGATTCCATAATTATCGCATCGCAGATGGGAAACAGGTTCTGAGCTATGAAATAATAATGATGATTTTTAAAGAGTTGAATGTAGGTTTCTTACAGCTAGTTTATCACTCGCGATTAGCGGCACTGTTTCCTTCCTTATGAAGAACAATTTTTCCTACTCCCAGTACATACATAATAAATTCCGCTAATATAAAATTGGTAATGCAAGAACAATATAACTATGACTCATGCATGCTTGGCAAATCTCGAGAGGAGCAACCCGGAGTGATTACATATTTCGCCCACCTCTGAGTGAGATATAAGTCAGCTGGGTTAAATTTTAAGTTAGCTAATAATAAATGCATTGTTTAATTTTTAATATATCAACTAAATCCCCGATATTGGCGAGTTAAAATTGTTATCAACCTCACAGAAGTTCAACTGTACACCTTTTGGATTAAAATAGCTGCTTTCTACGATTCAAGTGTAATTCCGTGCAAATTTACGCAATAATTAATGTTCTATCTCACCGTATTCCCGCATGAAATTTCCTGTATTATGCTAAATAAGAATTTAACGGATTGATTAAAATTATTAGTATAGCACTAGAAAAATTTTATAAATAATGCTATTACGTAAACAAAATCATGAGCAAAACGCTAAATTCTATAAAATAGATTTTTGAATTTTGTCAGGTTATCAAGCAGAATTGTTTTGCAACTTACTGCATTATTGGGGAAAAATTGGTGCTTGTTGCAACTTATGTTAAATTGTTTCGAAGATATTTCTAAAAAGAACCCGCCCTGAATTTCAACTGAATAAAGTAAAGATCTTGCAGAAATGCCTATTGATCAAGCCAAAAATAATTGCTGGAAGTTTTAAACACTCACGAGATTTTCCGCAGCTCCTTTATTTTCTCATTTCATGTCAGCCTTTCTGAAGCATAATGATAAGGTTCATATCTGATGAATTGCTTGATTTATATTTGTTCAACGTGAAACATGATATTAAATCAAAACAAGCAGAGTTTCATGATATGAGCAATGATATTAAATAAAGCATGATATAAAATCAAAACAATCGGCGTTTCATGATATGAGCAATGATATTAAATGAAGCATGATATTAAATAAAAAAAAGCGGAATCTCGGAGTTTTGCAAGTTACACATCAGTGAAATGTAATCCACGTATTGTTTTACCTGAAATCTAGTCAACTTTTGATATATGTTTTTTCCATTATTTGATTTGAATTTACGTGCAATCATGGATTGCATTGAAAATTTACTGAACTAGACATTCCTTTCATTATGTCATAAAACGAACGAATTTACTACGACTTGCAACTTTGCTGGAGTAATCATTTTGAAAAATTGTGTATGTGCGAAGCCTTCAAATATTTAAGTCAACTCGAGCGAAATTTTCGCAATGTAGCTGCGCACCTCGATCGCCAGTCATTTGTTGACAAGTGTTCATGGTTACTAGAAGAGTGCAGTGGTTTTAGAGTGAGAAATTTTCCTGTTGGGTTCTAGGATAGGGTTTTGGCGTACTAGTAGAGGAATATATATACTTTAGTTACAGGTTTTACTGATCGGGGTTTATGAATGGGGTAATTTGAGCCGTCTGATTTTATGGGTTCTAATGCTCGCTGTTTACAGTATTTTTTTGTAGCTTTCTATTAAAAGTTTGTAACAGAGATTTTACCGTTTTGACAGATTTTTTCAAATTTTCTTAGATTATTTTACTATTCCGTTGGGGCAGCCTATGCATGTTGAAGTTCTCCCGCAACAGCAACATACCACAAGTCATGTATTTGTAAGCATATGTTGGTAAATATCACTTAGATAACCGTCCATTTGCAGAAGTAACATTTTATTCAAAAATTTTAATAGAACCTAATGCAGCAGAAGATAATGAACGAGTGCCGAAATTTCAATCCAACCATAATGCTAGTATAGCATCGTTTGGCATTACATTTTTTAGATTTATTTGGTATTTTTATTTTGTATTTAGATTATATTTAGAAGAAGTACAACTTACGTGTCATCATCTGCCCTGATGAACCAGTCGTAGTCGTTGATGTAATGCTGGTGTACGTACTTGAAAGCTCTCTTGAATTTAGCCCAAAGGAAAGTTCTGCTCTCATTCGTGTTCAACTTGATGGTTGGTATAGAAGCATCTGAAGAATAAGATCGTGTCATAGTTTTTGAAATAACGAAATATAAATACAGTAAATCATCAACAGCAAAAATGTCGACTGGTTCCGATGTATCTTTGCCAAATCAATATCCATAAAATAGCCTCTAAAATCAAAAATTACTACAACTACTATTTAAAATTGTATCTCATATTTGTCTTTACGAAATTTAATATTTAGATAGCTTTATTCATTATCCTCCCTCCATATATATTTATTTCGGTATTTATAACTTAATGGCGTTGATAATTTTCAATAAGTAGGACTCCCCAAAATCCATAACAAGCTGCCTCACCCTCCTTGGTGCTCATGAAGAGCAGCTTGTCGACCCTCTTGCCCCACGTGTCGCGGACGTGCACAGCTTTCGTCTGGTGGTTGTCAGGCTGAGTCATCACCCAGACCAGCAGCTTAATATTCTGCAGCTGCTGCAGATGCTCATCCCTCACACGCGGGTGCCCTTCTAGTGCAGCGTCTTCTGAGAGCATATTGACACTTACTTAGATAATATAATAACAAATAAATAATAACATTAATGACAACACTTGATAGTTTCATAATATTTTTAATGTTCTGAAATTCAAGTGGATTGTCAACCAGGAAGAAAAATTAGTCAGACTTTAATGGAAAACTTCATGGATCGCAAAGAAAATAAATTTCACATCTTCGGCGCTGTTAAAAATTTAATATCCCAACCCAAATGAGACATAAATGTAAAATTTCACAAAATTTACTAATTTCCAATACCTACCATCAAAGTTGAACTCGGAGCGCCTGCATTTTTTCCATGAAGGTACAACGCCAGAAATCAAGCAGTCGAGGGTGATTAATACACCGGAAGTGAGTTTTTTCCAAGTGACGATGTGTACGAAATGCACATAAATTCAGAATAGCTCTTAAAATGAGAGATTCAAGGATTTCAAGAGTTTTTTTTACAGGAGTTTCCATCAGCTTCTCCATGTTGTGAGTTTGGAGGTGATCCCGGTCGACGAATCCAAAAGAGAAAATGTGCGTTGGAAGTTAATAAAATTCTTCTAAATAATGTGTTATTATTAAAAATTTTTAAATTTTTAGAATATAAATTACGACCCGTTTACGTTTTTTGTTCCTGGTCACCGTTTATAAATAAATAGCTGGGTAAGCATGTAAGAATCCATATCGCAATCTCATTAACGAGTGGAGTAAAGTCCAGCCTAATTTGTGAAGAAACTCATAAGGAAGAGCCGAGCCTGTTTGTATAGCCTCGCGGTTCCCAATCAGAGCTTTAAGGCATAAAAGCTACTGTTTATGACGAAATCTACGAATTAAATGCTCACGTACCTCAGTAGTGACTTAGCCACCTTATGGTATCGAGTTACGGTGAGGGTATCTAGGGTTACGAAGGCAAGTAAAGCAAACGTTACTCCAAGTGCCGCGCTGTGTACGTGGTGCCATTTCAGTAGTCGGATGCCTGCAAGCACATACATGATTAGTCATTTTTTTATATTTTATTATGATCGTCTTTGATGAAATTTTATGAATGCTGCTGTAACTTACTTCTAATTGAAGAAAACCTGCGTACATCAGATCCTGAAAAATTAACGTACAATTAAGCCATTCAGGTCTAATTAGAATACCGAAATATACTGTTACGCTCATGAACTCGGTACAGAACACGACTTTAATTTGTGCGTCAAAATTAATACAATGAACACTTTCTTATGAAAATTATCCAAGTTAGCCGAAGCAAGGAAATACAATTTTTCATAATTTTCAGCTGATGTTTGATTGCGATATACAGCATGAAAGAAATTTATCCATGAAATGGTTTGTATAAATAATATGCAATTTTATTCATGCATGTAGCAAATATCGGTGAATTTTGTATTAATAGTGTTTGCCGCAGTAATTGTGGTGACTAAGCTAAATCTGGAGTACTCTTCATTACATAATTTTCCAGAATCGACCATCTCGTCTCGTAACAAGTGACTGGCTGCAAGCGTAAATGTAACTTAATTACTTTAAAATTAGTAAATTTTATTATATGTAATGAAGTATATAAGAAATTTGTACTTGGTCGTCAATAAATTTGTTTTAAAATCGAAACTATGTTTTAATATCAAATCGTAATATTTCTTTTGATGAAATATTAATCTTTCTAGTGTCTCAGGAAACCCCATCTAAAATTACATTCCCATGCAGGTAATCGCGCCTGAAAACTGAACAGCGTGCATATATCCAGCGCCATTCATCAAACAGCATTTTTGACAAATAGGGATCAAATTTTTTTTAGATGTGCTGCGCTTTAGGCTAAATGAGTAATTTTTCTCTCATTCGTATTATTGTACAAATATTTTCATTATTTTTACTCTCATTCGTAGCAACAGCCCGTAAAGAGCAGAAGCATCAAAAGTTGAATAATGCCGAATGAAAATAAGAAATTTTTTGAGTTTTCAAGAAAAATGGTCATAATTATTCACAACTTAGTTTCAGAGGTTAGTATTTCAGGCTAATAATTGAGTTTAAAAGTTAAAAATAGTTAAACCTAACTGTGTATCTACTGTGTGTAGATATCTACCTACGTATTTGAAAATACGTAGGTAGATATGTGAGGGTTTGTATAGATTCAAACCGTACTTACATGTAACTTATATTTTCCGTTTGTTTACAAATAATTTCTCTTGACTGCTCCAACGTAAAAAATATGAGAGCAAGTGTTTATAAGTCAATGCTAATTTACTAACCTGCTGTCATATTCAGGAGCTGAAGTCATAGCCCAATTTGCCAGGTATTTCTTCAGTGAATTCAGCCGTAGTAAATTTTACCACAGAAAGATATCTATTTTTGTTTAAACAATCGGTCCTTCCATTGACTTTTTCATTGATGGATCATTCAGAGCATATAATGTTCAAGTCACAGAAAAATTTCCTCATAAAACACTCTCAGCGTGACCTGTTCTGCAAAATATTGGTTGTTAGGAAGAATTGTTGCTACACGCTTATTTTTCTAACACCGATTGTAAGTTTTCACAATAATATTCATCTATCCGTCAGCGTCACTTACTAATTATAAGTAGTGAGTGACAAACAGATACTCTAACATATAACTAGTGGAAGTTCAATTAGATTAAAAAACACACAAAATTTCGCTTGCCATGATTATTCAGCCAACTTGTTATAAAAAAAAATAAAATTCCATCAACCTGCTGCAGAATGGATGCCGTATGCTCCAGGGATGCCGTATTGCTGGCTTTTTGATCTCAATTAGACTTCTTAACTTACCTTATGATTCTTTCCAACTTTTAGGAATAGAGTTTCTATCGTTCAGATTTATTTTATTATGAATCATGAATCCTTGGGTGCACCTTTAATTGGGCCCGCACATGAATTATGTTAGGGTACATGTGAAATTGGACGACGAAAATTGTGAACAGGCGTCAGATTTCTGATGTAAATCTTTGCAAGATTGGTTGTTTTCATCCTAATTTTGGAGACGTATGGATGGTTATATCAATTATTTACAATAGAAGTTTTTTGGCAGAAGACAAAAATTAGCCATCGGAAATAAATAATTTTGATATTTTTAAGCGAGCAGGTCTTTAAAACAAAATATAATGGGGTAGTAAATTGAAAATTGAGCCGGGATAAGATTGGGATAAAACACTCTGTTCATATCCATAATTGCCAGATCATAAGATTCGTTGATTTCAGATGATGATACGAAAAACGCTGTCATCAACCACTAAACACAGCTCTGGGATGTATAGCATACAGCAGGATGGTCAGGACAACAGAACGGATACATGGCTGCCTCCTTCAACTGTAAGCCGACGTACTCCTTGTACAGAAGAGTATGTCGTAGCTAATTAAAGTGCCTTTTATAGAAACGAATATTTCGTTAAAGAAGCATGGCATAATGGGGTTTCAACAGCGACGCCTGACATAAACAAGTTTCTTCGCCTTGAATAAGCATCCTTTTCATTTTACAATAATATTTTGCCAGACACAAAAAAATATGATAACCCTACGAGTATCGCAGAGTAGGGCACAGAATCGATTAATAGGTATGTTTTCATTACTTAATTCAGTAGCAGATCTATACAATTATCAAATAAACACGAACTAACGAAGAGACATGAATATTCACGACATCCGACACTCGCTATATGTAAAACTGTGCATCCCTTTTTGGAATATAGACTGCCAGGGGTTAATGAATGTCAAATAATTCAATACAAGCGATTACATGAGAAATATAGTCTAGAATTAAGGAGGAAGACAAACATTTGTCTCGAGATAGAACGGTCTTCGCGCAGTTTGGTCTTCAGTGTTCGGCCACGCAGTAGTTTTTGACGTCATCGTGGTGGCGTCGGCACGCTGGATACGGGTCAGTATAAGACCGGCCTGGGCCTATACTTTCAGAAAAAAAATAAGATATCGTAAATTCATCAGCCAATCATTGACGGCCTTCCAAGCAAAATCCGCCAATCATAGACAAGAAAATAGAGCGTAAGTACTTATGTTCACTTAGCGTGTTTTGAAAGTATGGCCCCTGGTGCTGGCAGAGACTGCAAGGCGCCGTAGCGATGCCGCTGGGTGTGGCTGTGGCATCTTCTTCTGATAACGGAGTGTTCTCGCTTGGTAAAACGTATGCATTAGAATATAAATATAGAAAAATACTATTCGACATTATGATGTACTCTTCCGTATGATGTTCTCTAATAATTAAATGAATGTCTGGAAAGGAGGCAGCTGCTACGCACAGCTTCAACGGTCAAAAAGAGCATAGCTAGAATAAATAGCTGTTCGATAACTGCAATAACTTCATGGAGTAAAGTTTTGTTTGAAGCTTGGCTTGTGTTCGGTTAAACACTTTGGATTGTAGAATCTCAAAGTTATTAAATTGTATAAGGTCATAATCAATTTCATTGTATAAAATTTTGTGCTTGAGAATAGAGTTATTGCCGATTAGTGAGCACATGTTTACCACATAATGGTTCGAGCCATGTTCGCGTTTTATAAATTCGTTCTACAAATTTTACTTTTGACAAAATGCATTGTCACGAAGTTAATTAGTATTAGTTAATTAGTATTCTCTGCTGCCATTATGTTGTTCAGGTTTCGACATTGCTGATAAATCCTTTGATATCATAAACATAACATATGATAAATCCTATGTTTTTGATGGCTGCAACTCCTCGACCAGTCATGAGTGGTCGCAGATTTGAGTCCATGTGGGCTGTACAAAACAAACACGTACTGTACAGAACAAACAAAAGCAAAACAAACATGTACTGTAAAGAACAAACGAAAGCAAAACAAACGCGTACTTACGCACGCACGCATGCACGCGAACGGGCACCGCCTGAGACTGGATTCTAGTCTAGTCGGAATTGCCGATTCCATGACTACGAAATTATGCAAATCAAAATTAGCTATCAAAACAAATATGCACCGACGATGACTTCTGCATTAAAGAACTCATAAAAGAACTAACATTCATGGAATAACACGAATGAGGTAACTTTCACTTCCATGAAAATCTCTCAAATAATTTGAATGTAATGCGCACATACCTCCAGCGGGGAGGGAGTGCAGCGTTATGGTGGCTGGGGCAGAGGCAGCGTGAGCCTGCGCGCGGTACTCTCCTGTGTGCTGAGCAGACCGCCCCGCCCTGCGAGCGTCACAGTTTATTACGAAAGTAATCTACAGAAACACAATCATTTCATGAACATAAGTTAACATAAACTTATACATAAAAGGCAGAAAACGTTATTCAATTTTTCCCCAAGTCACCGGAATGAACTTGTTTGCCGTACTTGATTTCTTCTATTTTATATTGTTGTTGATATGAATTTTTACTTTGGTATCAACATCGCAATTACTCACTGGTCGATGTAGCGATACAAGTAAGTTTCATCGAGAGAAAACTTCAATAGTTTATCTAGAGACCGACGACCCGTCGACAGCACCACCATGGAATCTTCGTCTGAGAGCTGATGCAGAAAGCATAAACATCAAAACAAATTAGTTTGTTAACTCCCAACGGAAAGATAGTGGAGAACGATTGCAAATTTTCATAAAAGTGGTGTAGTTGAAGCAGCAATCGAAATCATTTGTTACGCTCAGGAGAAATATTTTCTATAGTTGTTAATTTGAAATAATATGGGATATCGTTTGGCTAACAATACCTAGTAATGTTTGTTTTGTTTAAGTGAAATTAACTATTCAAACCTTCAAGTTTCAGTTATTTGTGAATGGTAATTTAACTAAATGTAATTTCCACCATCTTGACGATGGGTTCGCCAACAGATGCCGAAAGCAACTGTATCTGTTGTAATTATTCAGTTTGAAATAATTAGTTTAAAGTAATAAAACATACCTTTGACATTTATCGATTATCATTTTTATTCATTTCACGAATGTAGGCGCCATTAAAGTTCTCAGTCGTGTTGTGGGGAGTGCACGGCCCGATCGTGGGGCCCTGGGCGAGCCCTCCCAGCACGAGGCACAGCCCCGCCAATGCCAAAAACAATATTTGCAATTTTACGCTGCTTCAATCCTTATTTATTGTTTTACTCGAATTATTTCGATTGTTAATTTAATTCAATCTTTGTTTCTAGTTGACGCGATTACGTAAGAAATCTGCTAAACCCGATTTCTTCAATCAATGAAATCATTTAAATCAAAAAATATTTTGTTCATATAATGTAAAAACGACTAAACTAAACATTCATGTAGCAAAGCTATTGTTAAAATTTAGACTCGTACATTTATCTGTGCATGCTTAAAGCCCCAGAATCGAACCAAACCAACTCTTGGCTTCAGTTCTTCCTTTTTCGCTTAGTTAATTTAACGACTGGAGATCTTTCCACAACATTTTTTTGTGACCCGTGGGTTCATGTTTTCCGGATACGGCCCGATACAACACATACGCTATACCCAGCATATAATAACGCAAAATTCAACATTACTTCCGATATCACCACTAATATGAAATTTTATATTTGTTTTGTTCCTTATACACAGGAAAAAATTTAATATGCATAAAATAAACAATCAATGAATTGATTAATTAATCAGTACAGTAAGTGGTTAATCAGTATGGAAAAAACACGCGTGAACAAATATGAGAAGAGCTCGTGGGTCGTTGTTATTCGATCATCATCACCAGAACAAACTTGTTTATTTTGCCTCAGCTGCTGCCTTTATACCTACAGAAGAGAACAAAAAGTTCCTCACCAAATTAGTGTTTTGCGATACTCGTTCCAAGTTTAACCGATCCGGATATGTTGTTAATGACTCGCCTTAATTAAAAATCGACGCGGAGCATCCCATAGAAAGCAGCTGTAGAATTGAGCTTGCACCGAGCGAAAAACTAGTTTCGGGAACGGTTAATGACTTACAAAGGTGGCCGCCGGTGTACGCAGAAAATGTAAGAATTCTGTGCAGGTATATGTTACTTAATATGCTTTGTAAAATACACACGAAAATTCTTCTAATCACTTTACTGAATATTATCAATTCCTCTTTCGTCCCGGGACCGTGTCTATATAGTACCTTATTTGGAGTAATAAATGATTAAATTCATTTATTCCGACAGTTCGATGAGTTATGTGAGATGCTCAAGCAAATTATGCTCCTCACATGAACAGGCCAATAAATACTTAGTTCGAGACGTTCAAATTACCGACTACCAACCAATAAAATCATGAAGGTTTATTGAATATACATCAAAATATTATCTCAGTTGACCGATGCACAATACACGTAAAAAACAACTTGAACATTCTTCGCACAGAATACCGAGAGTATCAATTACCTTACCAACTATTTTGGCTTATCACTGATTAAACGAGTTTGACAAGATCTCCTATACTTTTTCAGAGCAGACTGTACAGTTCGATCAAGAGGCTCGGTCACTTACCTGAGGTTCTATAAATATGCTGGTCAATCGTTCTACTTCATTTTAATGCGGAGTGAGCACTGCACTTGATTCAATGTCCGGCCTCACGAGTTGCGCTGTCAATTCAATGTAACGTTTTTCATCGGTGAAAAACTATTACATATCTTTTCTGTTATTTTGTTTATCGACATGATTTTTATATTTTTATCGACCTCATCGTTTTCTCACTCGTTAGAGAACGCAAATTATCCGTTGTTAAATGAGTAAGTGGTGTAAAGTTTGCAGTAAGAGCTGCTCTGAGGGAATCCATCAGATCTTCAGGTGGATTAGTGTTGTGATCGAGTGATGAACGTCAATTTCGCCGCGTACAGTCATTTTCAATTTTCCAAGTGGTTGAGAGATTTTCGTCAGACTAACCTTTTAACTGATTAACTTAACTAATGGTGGAAATGATATTATTTTTGGGGCAACTATTGATAACTATCGTTCTATCAACTCATTAATAAGGCTTATGCTAATGCATCTAAATACAAGATTTAGGCATTCATATTGGAAAAAGAACGGTTGTCACTGTTGACACCCAACTCACCTAACATTTTGGGT